ACGTAATTATCTTGAAGTTTGCGCCCACACCGAACAACAACGAGAACAACTAACGGCGAACAACGGCCAGCGGACAAACGAACAGCGAACAACCAACAGCTAAGACATGAGGGCCAAAAAAGACGGCTCGCGGCTTTAATAACCATAAAAATGGCAGTCAATGCAGCTTAGAGCCAAAATGCCAGGCGTTCGAGGAGGAAAACCAAAACCGAGACCGAAAAAATCGAAATGATTGTTGGGCGCACAAAATAAGCCATAAAAAATATTTAACACACCCTCGGACAAAGCTGTTAACAGCATTGGAAATGCGTAGGATAAGGCCATAAAAAAAAAACACCCATATTGAGTCAAGTCGAGTGTGTATGTTGCATTTGCTGCGACAACTGGCGACGAGTTGTTGGCAATTTTTCTCTCCTTTCCCATTTTTTTTTTCTTATTTTTTTGTTATTTTTTTGGTTTAGGCTGCGGCGGCGACAAACGACAATTAAAATGCAAACAAATTGAATTTGTGTGCGAAAGGTTTGGCTCTGAAGTATGGCTCTTTTGGCTAAGTGTTTTGCGCCATAAACTCACGCCAAACGGGCAACAAACAACCGCGCTTGTTTGTTGTTTTGTTGTCGCACGCGTGCTCGCAACATGTTTGCTGCTGCCAACGATTTGCGGGGAAAGTTGGCGTGCCGTTATTTTAATTGCAACATGTTGCCCGGTAATTTGTCTGGCACTCGTAAATGTTGCGACGCTAATTGCCGGCTAACAAAAAAAAGAAAAAATATAAATAGAAAAAAAGCCCACAACAATGGTAACAACGCAGGCAACAACAATGTTGCCAAACACGTGTGGGTCGACAGTTTTCCACACATTTTCTATGGCTCCTAAAAAACTGATTATGTTGGCTAAGCGTCAACGCCCCAAAAACCGCAGAATCTCACACCCCAAAAACCTAAGCTCGAACTCCCCGGAAAAACACCTCCTCTATTGGCCCTTTTGGCCATGGACATTAACCTGTCAACGTGGCCAAGTTTGCAACACATTTAGTGGCCGGCCTGAAGGCGCAAGTTCAAACTTAAGTGCTAGGTACACTGCAAAAAATACAAGGAAAATGTAACTCCTTATAATTAGTTCGAATTACAAGTAATAAAAAACATTTAAAACCATTTAGTTACTCTTAAATTAAATATATATTATTATAATGATTGTAAATATGTAGTTTAATTTTTACCCCTTAAACAATAGTTTCATTCGGAACCAGTAAAATTCAAGTTCTAAAAAATAATGCTTAATTTGAAGCTATAAAATAGCTCTTTATTTTTCGTTTTTCTTCGATTTTAAGGATATTTTCTAGTCATAGATTTTCTTTCAGTGCATCGCAGCGCGCAGCCACTCCATCGCTATTCCGTCCGCGGCTCTAATCTATAAGCAGTAATCAAATTTCAGCTCGCAGCTACCAACTTGCAGCGTACGTGTCCGCCACAGCCCGTAATTATGCAACACATGTTCAATGCAACAATTGGCCATAATTTAGTCAAAGGTAATTGAGTAAGCCCCGTCTCAAAGACCCCGACTAACGCCAGACCCCGAAGTCCGCTCTATCATTATGCGGTCTCCAAACTGCGCGACCGACGAACGAAAGACAGACAATGCCAGCCGGTTCCTCCCATCGGGTACGCACAGTAGTCCGGCTAAAAGTACGGGCCAACCTTGATTGACGACCGCAATGAGGATTGAGTGATGGAGCTCCGATGCGGTGGTGCAGTGCCTCCAGTGGTGCGGTGTGGTGGTGTGGTGGTACGGTGGGGCGGCGGTGCGGCCAGTAATGCATCCGAGGTGGTGGTTGCCACTGGGCGCCTGCCTGCCTTGTTTATTTATTTCTAGTTAGTCGCATTATCTTGCCCGACTGTTATTTAATTGTACGGCTCGATTGGATGAGCATCAAGCAGCCACCTGATTTAACGTGCACTGAAAACAAATTGATGATGGTTCTTTGTTTTAAATTAGGAAGTCTATTTAAGATTAATTAGAAACTAGTTTTTTGTTATTTGTTTTTGACTTCAAGAACAATTTAAGTTCAAAAGATATTGTTTAAATAGGCAAAATATTTATTATTTAAACTGAAAAAAAATATCTTTAAAAAATTATCCACACGCTATATCCGAAATAAATAAATTTTTTTTTTAATATTATTAGCATTAAGCCTTTTTTAATTATAAATACTTCTTTTTATTAATATATACCAATATACCAATTTCTCGCAGTGCATCTCTCCACCTCTTTAGAAATGTGTGGAAATTCTTGGTGCTGCGTCGTATCCTTTGCTCCATAATAGCTCTAGTTAATGATTGTGGCCAATGTGAGCTAAGCGCTCGACTATCTGGTATCAAGGAAGATAGAAATTGTTCTTTAATTTGCGGAAATTGTTGGCAAAGTGCCGGCACAAAAAAAAAAATGCCTGACAAAAAGAGAAGGTTAAGGTGAGGAAATATGTGGCATATTTGGTTCAATAATTTTGCATTTCCGCCGATGGTTGGAATTTATCCCACAAATCGGAGACCAGCTGAGTAAAAAATTTCCATCCACCCACACAGAAATCGGTTGGGCCGGCCCACAGAACCGCCTTCCTAAAGCCCGTATCTGGAATCTAATATCTATAACCTTGCGCCGATTTCTCAAACAAACAACGCACACAAACACACTCACAAGATTGCTCAGCAATTTGGTTTGCAATTTTTGCGGTACAAAAATTATAAATTAAGTACTAATTACATGGACAACTACAACAACCATAAACAGCCAACGAGAAATCTGGGAAAAATCAAACGAACTGCCGCTTTTAATGTTCGCTGCGGCCACGCCCACCTAATGCCCAATGTGTGGGCGTTGCACTAATGAACACAGAAATCGAGAAAAAATGGAAATATCGAAACATTTTGTAACAAATGAAAAAAGAGACAAGCACAGTGGAGCTCCGTAAAATGAAAACCTTTTTATAGACATAAAGTATAAAAATTAGTGTAAATAATTTATAAAACTTATAGTTTTCTACAAGCTTATAATTTATTTATATTACTTAATTATATTTAATATTGCTTAGAAGTTGGAAAGTCTTAAGGCTTAGCCTGTTTGGTTTTTAAACCCATTACTAAACAATATTTGAAATCATATTTTTTTCTTATACTCTGCGGCCTTATAATAATCTGCTTCACAAAATCAAGATCACTTACTGTATTGAAATGCTTGGATGCCACATTTGATTGGTCGTTGTTGGCGTTCGTTGTTGCTGTCTTGAATGGGTGATAAATTATTTCCCGCCATTTACATAAATGCTTTGAATGCATTAATTAAAGTCGAAATGCTTTGACTCCCTCCATTTCCATCCAACCCAAGTCCCACCCCTCGGCAACGCCCCCTCTCAGAATATCTAAGACTGCAGTTGTCGATCTAATCAATTGGTTTTTGTTATTGGGCCAGGCCCATAGAGAAGCCATTATACCATTACGATTACCTCCGAATCGGCCTTATATGTGCGCGTATCTGTATCTTTTGTTCAGCTTTGCGGGTGCTGCGTATCTGCATCTGGGGGATATATATTTATCGCATACGATATGCATAAGTATGCTGGCCATTTTAAGTGGCTGCCGCCTAATTGTTCATAAAAGTCAACAGTCAATAGCTCTTTATGTTTGCGCTTGAAATTTATATTTATTTATTGTTATTTCTATACGCCAGTTTGGCGTTTCTGCAGCTTCATAATTTTGCCTCTATTTTTTTTTTGTCCGGTTTGACTGTGTTTGGCGCATTCGGCAGTAGCCATTGGAAATGAGTTTTGTCTCTTGAATTCCAAGGTCTGCCATTCTTTACAATTAGCAACCGAATTTATGAGCGATTTCAATTTCAATGCGGCTTGTTTGTTGCTTTTGGTTAGCACGGTTGATCTCTCTTGTGGGCTAACGAGTTTATGGCCAAAAGCCACTGCAGCAACGAATTCAAGAACAACAAGAAAGGAAGCTAGATTAAGCGAGCTTATTTACCCTAGAACAAAATGCATAAAGACTAAAAACCTCAAGGCTGGGAGGATTTTTCTTTTTCCTTTTAGTTTAATAGGAGACTGGGTCACAAGCATTTCAAGGTACGTCAATCCAAAATCGGACATCATTAGGAAATGTTATGGGCTTTCAAGTGATGATTTTAGGCCATTTTTCGAAAAAAGTAATTTCCTATGGCAGCAATTTTTTCCAAATATAGGAATTCATATATATTAATGTTCTCCGATTTTGATAAAATTGAATTCAAAATTCATACCCTCTGCCAACCCTCGAATTATACAAATTATCTGGTTCTGGTGATCATCTTTCCCAATAAACAAGCTGCACTTATCAGCATTTAGATTCTATTTTAAATCACTTATTGACACATACCATCTGGCTGACATAATTTTCTTAGATCACCGCCCTGTTTAGCGCCCATTTATGCAATCATGTAATTTTATTAACAATATCTATGACATTTAGCAATTGTTTGGTCACGTTAGAACTGCCGAAGCCAGACCGTAAACAATTACGTTTACGTGGTCGTGGTCAAAGGGGCAATTTGGTAGATGCTGCGATAAGCAATGCACTTGAAGAAAAATTCTTCACTTAAAATCGAAATTGTAAAACTTCGAAAACATATTGTTACTTTAAATATGCAAAGCTTGTAATTAGTTTTAGCTTAATTAAATAAATATTTATAATACTGATAATTTCATAAATTCTTATTAAATCTTATTGAAGAATTTATTTATATAAATTTATTTATTATATTGCCGATGATTTTTTCGCAGTGCATTCACCCGCGCACGACTTGCTCTTGGACTTCGACTTCTACATCGCTTCTAACTTCTACTTCAACTTTAACTTATTGACAATGCAATGTAATTGTTTCCGATAGAGATCTTGGCCAGGCCTTAAAAACGCAAAGAGTTTGTTACGTGGGTCCAGTGTCCTTTTTTCATGCTAGACTGCAGCATGTGTCGCTTGTTGGTTTTTCTAATAATAATCCCGTGTGTTGGAAGATCCCTAAGTTGGACAGCCGGAGATGTTGTTCATCAGCTTAATAAAGATCTACGGTTACAGCTGAATATTTATTTGGATTGTGAAGACATGGAATTTCAACTGAATCAGGAAGTGCCTAATTTATTAGTGAATACTTCTGTGGAGCAAAGAAAGTTGTTGGGCAGGTTCAATGAACGTGCTTTGATAATTGCCTGCCTAAAGGATTCAACAGATAATCGAACTCTAAGTGGCTTAAAGGATTTACTTTGGGGCCTACAAAAATTACATATTTTGTATGTCGTAAATTCCAATGTTCATTTGTACTTTGAAGAAGCTCTTAACAATGGTTTTCTTCATGTGCTGGCTCTAAATTCAAAAACTGGATCGCTCTACACTTATGAACCCTATCCCGAAATTAAAATTCATCAGGTTGAGAAAATGCAATCGTTTTATACCTTGACAAGACTTAGAAATTTGCAAGGACACACAGTATACATCACGGTGGAGACGATGACTCCCCGTTGTTTTCGCTATAATAATAGTAATGGTGAAAGAGTTTATGCTGGTTACATGTACAAAATGATTAAAACGTTCATTGAATTCTACAATGGAACGGAGGAGCATGTTTTTGCTAATTATTCATACGTGCCCTATGCAATTGGTTTAAGAGCCCTTAAAAATGGTCAAATTGATATGCTACCCCGGATAATACACGCAATGGATTGGATTTATTTCTATCGCAGTCATGTTTTATACAACATTAAAACATTTATCATGGTACCTTGGGCCGAACCATTACCAAAGAGCCTGTACTTTATTCGACCTTTTGATTGGACAGTTTGGATGGCATTTACCATAAGCATTGCCTACTCCTCGATTATGATCTGGTGGATGGGTTATAGACAGAAGGGAAAATCATCTCTTTCTCTTACTTTTATGGATGTATTGCAAATGATGTTTCAACTTCCTTTCACCAAAATCTGGCACTTTAAAATGGGAACTCGTCAAGTATTCAATTTTTTCGTGCTTTTCGCATCTGGTTTTGTGCTGACCAATCTCTACACCGCTCAGTTATCATGTTACTTAACTACTGGCTTATTTAAGCATCAACTCAACAGCTTTGAAGATCTATTTCGCGAAAAACAATTGTTGATGGTAGACCAATTCGATGCAGATGTACTAAGAAATATGACAAAATCGAAAATTATTCAGCAAGGATTTGATAATATTATTTTAACGGATGAGTTAAATACAGTCTTGAAGCATCGAAATAACCTTAATACATTGTATGCTTATGAGGCCTATGAGGACAGACTTGCATATTTGCTACTACAACAAAAGTATCTTCGAGTGCCGCTTTTCAAAACAATAAATGAGGTCTTCGATCAACAACCAGTATTTGTGGCTCTACGACACGGATTGCCATATACGGAATTAGTTAACGATTACATTCGGCGAATCTGGGAGTCGGGCATTTGGGTACAACTTCAGAAAGAAGCCAATTTAGAAGGAATAGCCAATGGCAAAATATCCTATCGAAAATCGAAATCACGCGAGGTTCAGGTTTTCGATAGAAAATTTTATTTTTTTGCCTATTTTTTATTAGGGCTGGGATGGCTTTTTGGTATAGTTTTATTTTTGCTGGAGAGATTTATTTATCATATCAAATATAGTAAATAATACTCATACTAATTTTAATTTTTGTATGCTTAATAAATAATCAAGCATTGCCGAAGAGCGTTTGTTAAGTAACTTTGTTATATGAAACCTATTAATAAGAATACACAACTACTCGAAATAATATCCCTTAAGCTATGACTTGTCATATTTCAATCTACTCCTCTAAATACTTCTGCAATTACATAACAATGGCATTTACAAAACATTATTACAGTGCCTATAAAAGAACTCCCAAGCAGAGGATTTCAGAGTCATTCAAATGGATTTGCTACACCTTAACACTCTTCAGAGCCTTTCACTGCTCGGAGGAAATCGCTTGGGTCAAACGATTCAGGAGCTGAATAACTTTTATCAAACGAAACTTAATGTGTTTTTCGAGTTCGGGAATAGTTTAAACAATTTAGAAGTCCGACAGCCTTACATGCCCATTGTCTGGATCAGAAATTCCAAACACCAAATGGTTCTTGAAGGAAACTTTAGCAGTTGCACATTGAGCATCTTATACCTGGATGATGAACAATTTATTAGCAGTCTCAAGTACCTAACAAATTGGTTGTGGAAGTATCATCATCTTCAAGTGTTAATATATTATTATAATGGATGTTATACGAAACTAGTAGAAATATTTAGCCTTTGCTTCAAAGAAGGCTTAGTGAAAGTGTTGGTAATGTTACCTGATTCTGAAGGACTTTATAGCTTTGCTCCATATCAGGAAATGAGGATTTTGCACTTCCGAAGTGTCAAGGATTATTATGACTACACTGGTATTAAAACCAATTTAAATGGGTATAATATAACCAGTGGCCTTGTAACATCGGCAGCTCCTCGTTCGTTCACCTTCAGAGATCGTCATAACAACTTAATTCTATCTGGATATATGCTTGAGATGATTGTGGAGTTTACTAATCATTTTAATGGATCGGTTCGTCTAAAAGATGTGGTTACAGTGAGCGATGGTCTTGAACTTTTGGCCAATCGCACGATTGATTTTTTTCCCTTCCTAATCAGACCAATTGAAACATTTGCAATGAGCAATGTTCTTTATATGGAAAATTGCGGCTTTATAGTGCCTTCGTCAAGACTTTTGCCTAATTGGATTTATTTAATCAAACCCTACACCTTCAGCACCTGGATCATCTGGATATTTATGATTATTTACTGCTCCTTTGCTTTGAGAATTTTATCTAAAAGAAAAATAAGCCTCAGTGCCGCTTTTTTAGAAACTCTTCGGTTGCTATTGTTTCTTCCAGGTGGAAGAGACATGGGTCTTCGTCCAACTTATCATCGATTTTTACTTGTTATGATACTAACAATATCTGGATTCATATTAACCAATCTTTATCTGGCTCAACTTTCCAGTAATTTGACTGCAGGTCTTTACGAGAAACAAATAAATACATGGGAGGACTTGGATGAAGTTAATGCAATTTGGCCCTTGATCGATGTTGATATTAATACTATGCATAAATTAATACCGGATCGAAAGATTCTGCTAAAACGCATAGTTCCAACATCAGAAGCAGATGTAGATTCATTTCGCAGGAACCTAAATACAAGCTGCATTCACTCGGGATTCTTTGATCGTATAGAATTCGCACTTTATCAACAACAATTCCTGAAATTTCCCATTTTCCGGAAATTTCCACATATCCTATACCAGCAACCTCTTCAAATCTCCACTGCGTTTGGACGTCCCTACATGGAATCATTTAATTGGTTTGTGCGGAAAATATTTGAGAGTGGAATTTATCTTAAGATGAAGGACGATGCCTATCGACATGGAGTTCAAAGTGGCTTACTGAATTTCAAATTTCGCGATCGCCATTTGGAAGTAAAATCCAATGATGTGGAGTATTATTACCTGATTGCAGGATTTTGGTTAGGTGGTTTGACTTTGGCTACCTTCACATTTCTTATGGAATTGCTTATTGGATCTACTGAAATCAAAGTAACCTTAGACTTTAAAAAAATGTAACAAATATAATATTTATTACAGGACTAAATTCCCTAAAAAATTTGATTACCTTAAAAGTTCCTAAAATCGGCCATAAAACCACATTTTACAATTATTTAAATGTCTCTTAGCTTTAAGTAAAATTCATGTAGCAACGCACTTTTTTCAATAAATAACGAACACTTGCAATTGCCTTTTAACGAATACTTCAAAAAAATATCTATTAAATACGCAATTTGGCGCACTCAATTTCTGGTGTCATATTTTGTTGCGCAGCGGGGCTGTAAAATAAACTTTGGCGGCAACCATTTTCTTCCCATAACTCTCCACCCAACTGTAATTACAACGAAAATACGCTAAAATATTTTGCCGGCGTGGCGACGCCTCCCTTGCGGCCTCATTTGCATGCCCACTGGCTGCACTTGTCGCGGCTCAAAATCCACTGGCCAAATGGCAAAATGGCAAGCTGGCAACCTGCAACTGGCAATTGGCAACTGGCAACCGGCCAAAGTTGCAACTGCCTCCGAAGGTGTCTTCGATTATTGCCAAACATTAATTATTTGCGCGCGATTTGGCGCCCGCCTCCATTTTTGTGAAAGGCCTGGGCTAGTAGTTCAAATGTTTATTTTTCTGCTCTCCTCGGTGTATCTTTGATTGCTGGTTACACGTAAAAAAAATAAGGTATGAGAAATTTGAATAAATTTTTAGCATATTTATCTTAAATAAAACAAATCACATTGCAAAATTAACTGAAAAGAAACTAAAAATGTTTTATCATAAATAAAATCTATTTGATAAAGGGTAATCTTAATATGTTAATAATTTGTAAAATAAATTTATCTAAGAACAAAAAGTTATTTTAAGGAAATACTACCATGTAAGAAATTTATTGTTTTATATTTCGAATATTAAGTAAAGAATAATGTTTTCCTTGTGTAAAATCATCAGACAGAGTCAGCAATTTTTGCGCAACGAATGTGAGCCGAGGGACGGTCAGGTCGAAACTCCTCAATCCTCTATCCTCCAGCTTGGCTTATTTATTTTTGGCCAAAATTGCACATTTTCCCATGCTGCTGTTGCTGGTTTATGTTGCTGTTTATTGTTGTTGTTTTTAGCCGTTGTTGCTAGTTGTTGCCTGGCAATGTTGATGTTGTTGTTGTCGCGTCTAATCAAGGAGCGGAGTTAAGAGTCGCTGCCTTGGTCGCCCCATTGCCATTTAGCCCGAAGCGGCTGCCGCGGCCAAAACGATGAATATTGATTTAATTGAAAGTCATTGAAGCACACGTACTTCAAAGACACGAGTTTGAGGTACCCATTAAGCAGGGGTATGATGTGGTCACAGAAAGGATAAATGGAACTTTACCGGGATTTTAGAAAGAAATGATTAAACATTAAAATCACTTTTAAACTAATAATAGAAAGGGTTCATTAAAAAAATTCTAATCGACTTAAAAATAAATAAACATTTGTTGAAACTAATTGTTTCAAATGAAAACAAACACAAACGATTTTTTTAATAAATAATAATAATATTAATCTTATATTTAAAAAATGTATGATTCCGCTTATAGTCTAGAATATTATGATATATATTTTGAAAAATAATATTTTAGCAAATCAGAAATCATGCTTTTAGATTACCAGAACAACAAATCCCTTTGGACCAAGTTTTTATTCGAATCCAAACATTAATGTTGTGGTAGATTTTTGGGGTATTTAAACTTCGATTCTTGGCTATTTTATAACTTTCCATTTGGCGTGGCAGCAAACCGACCGCCGATCACAGCTTGTGCCCTCCCACATGCCAACATCTTCACACAAACGCACACACACCCAAATGTGGAAAACCGACGCCCCGGCAAAAGTTTTTCCTGCATTTGCTGTTGTTGCTGGCACATTGACACAGTTTTCCATGGCAGATGTGCCCAAGCCCTGCCTCCTGCCTCCGCCTGACTGCCCCTTGATTTTCCCTCCCGATAGTTCTGTCTCCCCATATTGGAATTTTGTCGACTTGTTTTTCTTTTTTCCACTTCGGCATCGTCGTCGTTGGCGATGCTGCCAAATGTCAAAAGGTTAATACGTGAATTAACAGCAAATTTCTTTGACTTGTGTGTGACTGCAAGCTGCTAGTTGTTGCTGATAGTACACTGTAATCAATTATTGAGTACTTTAATATGCATGTTTTTGCTTTTGATATTTTGTTGAGATTATTGGAAAATAAAGAATTTAGTTACTGTTACTGGTATTTTAGATAGGTTATCAAAAATGTTGGACAATGCTCTCAAAGATCTTTTATATCAAAATGAAGTGTTAAAAGTTTTTCCAATGTAGTGGCTCTTACTAGTCGCTGTTTTTCATGCAGCTGCTGCTGCTGGCGCTTTCCTTGGAATGCGGGCGTTGTTGTGTTTGTTTATTTTCTTTTAGGCGGCTCCGCTTTTCTCCCTAATGCATTTGGGACACCAGCATGTGGTCGTTTCGGCTGATTTTCGTGTGGTGGCTTTACAACATATTACATTAAATTCTTCTTTTTGTATCCCATGCTAATAAATCAATGGGAGTTTTAGTCGGGCGAATTCCGATCATTTTCCCAGGGTTAAGTTAAGTGCGGGATTACCTTAGAGAATGCAAAACATTTTGTGAAGTTCCACCGCATTGGTTGAGAAATGATTTTAAGAAAAATTCTTTACAAGAATTTATAGTGCATTTTTATAGCTAAGTTAAGGGAATCTAAACCCTTTGGAAAACAAAAGTGTTTATAATGTGATGCAAAGTACCAAGAACTGATACTAATTTAAAAATTTATCTTTGAATTATTTTTAGAGGAAAGTGTTACCAAAATGCCCAAGATATTATGAATTCTCAAGTTCTTTAAAAACGAAAAGCTTATTCTGATAATTTCCCTCATAAAATTGGTTTTCCACCACATTAGCTTACTTGTATAACTATTATCCTTTTAGTCAGCAGGGACATCAACCCATATCCTTAAGGACATTCTTGTCAGTTCACCGCACGCCATCCAGATGGCGCCAGCACACACTTCCCTCCCAACTGCATTTCAATTAGACAAATTTTTCAATTACTTACAAAAATTCCATTTGGCACGCTCGATTGCCTTTGCCAGATGCCATGAGTAACCCACATAGATGGCGATTAAACGGACAGAGAGAAAGATATGCAAGGCGAACCGAAATAGAGTCGTATGTCTATGCAAATTTTTTGCGCAGTGGCAAGTGCATAATTTTTATTATTATTATTTCTCAGGCGCTTGGGTATCCATGGCGCTACGCTAAAAGTGCCAATCTAGAGTAGATCAAAAAGCGCAAAGCCTACGGAGCAACGAGTGCCGCCCCACTTGGCGACTGCCCACTTGGGTTTCCAGCTCAATTCAATTCATTAACCGCGCTATGGCAGCGATTAAATCGCTCAGCATATACTATATCTATATTATTTGCGCACATATATATTTATTTTCATAGATTTTTTAATGGAGCCAGGCCACATAATCTCCTGACAATTTATTGGCATTTTCATGTGAATTATGATATTTCAATAAAAACACATTTTGCTTTTATTGCCACACATTACGAAGAGTGCGCCAGTGACTTAATCTTATATCTAGTGTGAAAAGTGGTTCAATCGCGATAATTTCAGACAGCTTTTTTTTTCTTTACATTTTAATTGATTCTTAATGGAAAAAATTCCCTTATCTTGATGGTAAATTTATGAAATGTTAATTACAAAACTCACGATCAGCTCGTAATTTGAGTGCAAGTATTTGGTTAGTTTTTATTTTATTGTTGCGAAAACTGTCAAAGAGTTTTGAGAATTGCATATATGATTTGATATTAATGGTTCGATAAATGAAAATAATCACAGCAGGGAGCAAAAAATTGCAAGAACCGCAATGAAAATTAGAGATCGTAAACAGAAACCAATTTAAAGTGGGGGAATTGCTTTTGAGTTGTTGCTAAATTTGCATAGCCTTGGGCCTGGTCTATTAATGTAGATTAACTGTCGAGGTTGTACAGCATGTGCTGGCCAATTTTGAACAGGGCAGGATATTTCCTCATCATTATCGTTATATTACTGTCAAAACTCAATTTTCGACTACTCAATAACATTATTTATTGCTTATTCAGCATGATTAAGTACTGTTGTAATACAAGTTCGTTTTTATAAGACAAAACTAAATCTATCAATTTTAACTGGTAATAATATTTATGTGTTTTTTCCAATAGGTGGTTAAACATTCCTTGAAGTCTTAAATAAATTTTGTTTGCTGGTAACTCGTAACAGAAAATGTATTATCTTTTAACATAAAATGTAATTAAAACTAGTAATTAAGACAGGCCCCAAAAGATTATTAAATTTTTTGCGAGCAATCAATTTTCTGTATATTTAGTTAAGACAATTGAATGTTGTCTTCCTTTGTCATTTTCAAAATAAATATTTGACGATCGATAAATTTGATGTTTTCCATTAAGCATTTAAAGATCTGCATTAAATTTATTTATTGCGCTTAAAGCTTAAACTGATCCCTTTCACGATTTTTTATATTTAACGATCACTCATTTGTATTTATTAGTTTCCATTTCGTGCTGGCATCTGGCTTTCATTCCGAGTTCTACTGCCACCACTTGAGTAGAATTTAATATCATAATTCCAGTTTACAACATTTTAATGCACTTTGCTCGTCCTATTTCATGGCTATTGCTTTTTTTCGAGAGCTGTCCCATATGAGCGACCATTTAAATTCCCAGCTGTGTTCTTGTTGGCCGTTCGCCGCTGGTGTCCCTGCATATTTGCCGCTGCTTTGACGCCATTGTTGCATGCAACGCGTCGGCGGCAGTCTGCAAATGAAATTTCATATTTTCTTATTGCACAACAAATACAAAAAAAAATTCAAAAATGTTTATAAAATTTTTCTGCACTTAAAAAACTATTGTGCGATCAGAAACCATTATTTGATAGCCAAATAATTACTTATTTAGGTAGCTTGGAGATACTAAATTGCTTGAGCT